ATGGTGATGATGATGATGATGAAGATGTTGTTTCGGATGATGATTATCGTGATGAAGATGATGATGATTCGCAACATGATGATGATGACGATCATTATGATGATGCTGTTGATGATGATGCTCATCGTGATGATGATTATGATGATGATGATGATGACGGCGATATTGATGATGATGATGATCATGACCATGATGATGATGATGATGCTGATGATGACGGTGATTATGATGTTGATGATGATGATGATGATGATGATCATGAAGCTGATCTCGATGAGGATTATCATGATGCTGATCTCGATGAGGATGTTAATGATGATCATCTTCATCATCATGACGGCGATGATGGTGATGATGATAATAATGATGATGATGATGATGATGATGATGATGATGTAGATCATGTTGAAGATGGTGATGATGGTGATGATGATGATGATTCGAATGATGATGAAGATGATGATGATGATGATGATGATGAAGATGATGATGTTTATGATAATGTCGATGTCGATGTTGAGGAGTATCATGATGATGATGATGGTGATGATGACTCGGATGATGATGATGATGCTGATGATGCTGATGACGATGATGATGATGATGTTAATCATGATGATGATGATGATGACGATGTCGATGATTCAGATGATGAGGATGATAATGGTGATGATGATAATGATTATAATGATGATGATGAAAATGTTGATGATGATGATTCGGTTGATGTTGATTATGATGATGATGATGAATCGGATGATTATGTTGATAATGCTGATGATGATGATGATGATGCTGTCGATGAAGTTGATGATAATGATGAAGACTTCATGATGAACATCACGATAATGATTCGGATGAACCGGATGATGACGATGATGACGATGTTGTTGAGGATTATGTTGATGATGATTACGATGACGGTGACGATGTTGAAGATGATGATGATGATGATGATGATGATGATGATGATGTTGATCATGATGATAATGCTGCCGGTGAGTTGATGATGATGATGATGAGGATGATGATGATGATGAATCGGATGATCATGATAATGATGATGTTGATGTTTCTGTTGTTGACGATGATGATGATGATGATTTGATGATGATGATGCTGATGATGATAATGATATTGATGTTGATATTGATGATGATGATGATGATGATGATGATGGATACGATGGTGAGGAATCGCATGGTGATGATGATGACTATTATAATGGTGATGATTAAAATGATGAAGATGTAGGTGATAATCATGACGATGATGATTATGATGATGATGATGATGATGATGCTCAATGGGATGATGATAATGATTCGAATGATGACTATTCGGATGATGATGCTGAGGTTGATGTGGTGAAGATGATGATCATGATGCGATGATTCGGAGGAAGATCGTGGTGATTTTGTTGATGACGATAATGATAATGACTGCGATGCTGATGATGATGATGATGATGATGAATCGGATGATTCCGTTGATAACGCTGATGATAATGATGATGCTGTCAATGAAGTTGATGATGAAAATGATGAAGACGATGATGATGAGGATGACGACAATCATTCGTATGATTCGGATGGTGATGATGATGATGATGCTGACGATGATGATGATGATGATGATGTTGATGATGACGATGGTAATGATGATGTTGTAATGATGACGATGATGATGATGATGATAATGATGAAGATGATGATAAAGATAACGATTCGGTTGATGCTTGTCGTGACTTCGATGATGATGTAAACGATGATGATGATGATTATCATTAAGATGATGATCATGATCATGATACGGATGATGATGATGATGATGATAATGGTGATGATGATGATGATGATGATGATGATGACGATGATCTTGATCATGTTGATGATCACGAAAAAACGATGATTCGGATGATGCTCATATTGTTGACGATGATAATGTAGATGATGTTGACAATGACGATCATTAAGATGATGATGCTGCTGCTGATGATGATTATCATGATGTTTATGATGACTCGGATGATGATGGTGATGATGATTCTGATGAAGATGATGAAGATGATGAGGATGATGATTTGCATGGTTCGGTTTATGACGTCGTTGATGATGATGATGATGATGATCATGATGATGGAGATCATGATAATGATGATGATGAAGACGATGACTCGGATGTAGATGACGTTGACGCTGATGACGATGATGACTTTCGGGATGTGATGACGATGATGATGATGATGATGACACGAACGATGTTGGTAATGATGATGATTACTCGGATGAAGGTGATGATGACGGTGATGCTGATTCGGATGATTCACATGATAATGATGATGATGATGATGATGCTGCTGCTGCTGATGATGATGTTGAAGATGATGATGATGACCATGAAGATGATGGTGAAGATTATGATTATGGTGATGATGATGATGATGATTATGATGATGATGATGAAGATGATGATGATGAA